TATGTCCTGTCTCACTGGCAGGACAGACCCAGCAGAAGGGGGTGGCGCAGTGGTATACTGTCAGGAGGAGTTGCCCTGGGAGTCCTCAACATTGACTCTGGATCCCATGAAGTCTCATGGCTTCAGGCTAAACATTGACAAGGAAACCTGCTGATTATCATGTATCATCCTCCCTCGGCTGATGAATTGGTAGTCGTTCATGTTGAGCAACGCTTGGAGGAAGCACTGATGATGGCAAGAGCACAAAATATACACTGGGTTGGATATTTCAATGTCCACCACCAAGAGTGGCTTGGCAGCATTACTACTGATTGAGCTGGTCAGGTCCTAAAATACATAGCTGCTAGAGTGGGTCCACGGCAGGTGGTGAGGGAATCAACAAGAGAAAAAAACATACTTGACCTCATCCTTACTAATCTGCCAGCTGCAGTTGCATTTGTCCATGACTTTATCAGTAAGAGTGACCACCGCACAGTCCTTATGGAGACGAAGTCCTGCCTTCACATTGAGAATAACCTCCATCGTGTTGTGTGACATTAAATGGGACAGACTTTGCACAGATCTAGCAACTCAAGACTGAGACGCTGTGAGCCATCAACAGCAGCAGAACTGTACTCCAGCACAATCTGTAACCTCATGGCCCGGTATATCCCCCACTCAACTATGGCCGTTAAACTAGGGGATCGACCTCGGTTCAATGGGGAATGCAGGAGAGCATTCCAGAAGCTGCAACAGGCATACCTGAAGATAAGGTGCCAACCTGGTGAAGCCATCAAGCAGGACTGTTTGCATGCCAAACACCATAGACAGAGCTAAGCGATCCCACAACCAACGGATCAGATCTAAGCTCTGCAGTCCTGCCACGTTCAGTCATGAATCATGGTGGATAATTAAACAGCTCATTGGAATAGGATGTTCCACAAATATCCCCATCCTCAATGATGGAAGAGCTCAGCACTTCTGTGCAATAGATCAGGCTGAAGCTTTCGTAGCAATCTTCAGCCAGAAGTGCCGAGTGGATGATCCATCTTGGCCTCCTCCAGTGGTCCCCAGCATTAGAGATACCAGTCTCCAGTCAATTCGATTCACTCCATGTGATATCAAGAAACGGTTGGAAGCACTGGATACTGCAAAGGCTACAGGCCTTGACAGCATTCCGGCAATAGTACTGAAGACTTATGTTCTGGAACTTGCTTCACCCCTAGCCAAGCTGTTCCAGTACAGTTACAGCACTGGCATCTGCCCAACAATTTGGAAAATTGCCCAAGTATGTCTTGTACACAAAAAGCAGGACAAATCCAACCCGGCCAGTTACCACCCCATCAGTATACTCTGATCATCGGTAAAATGATGGAAGGTGTCATCAACAGTGCTAACAAGCAGCACCTGCTCAGTGATGCCCAGTTTGGGTTCCACCAGGGCCACTCAGTTCCTGACCTCATTACAGCCTTGGTTCAAACATGGACAAAAGAGCGGAATTCCAGAGGTGAGGTGCGAGTGACAACCCTTGACATCAAGGCTGCTTTTGACTGAGTGAGGCGTCAAGGAGCTGTAGCAAAACTGGTATCAAGGGGCAAATTCTCCAGTGGTTGGAGTCATACCAGACACTGTAGGAAGATGGCCGTGGTTGTTGGAGGTCAATCATCTCAGCTCTAGGACTTCGCTGCAGGAGTTCCTCAGGGTACTGTCCTAGGCCTGACCATCTTCAGCTGCTTCATCAGTGATCTTCCCTCCATCATGAGGTAAGAGGTGGGGATGTTCGTTGATGATTGCCCAACGTTCAGCACCATTCGCGATTCCTCAGGTATGGAAGCTAATCTCTTTGCAAATGCAGCAAGATCTGGACAATATCCAGACTTGGGCTGACAAGTGGCAAGTAACATTTGCGCCACACAAATGCCAGGCTATGACCATCACGAATAAGAGACAATCTAACCTCTGCCCATTGACATTCAATAGTGTTACCATCACTGAATCCCCACTATTGAAATCCTGGGAACTATCATTGATCAGAAACTCAACTGAACTCATCAAATAAACGCAGTGGCAACAAGAGCAGGTCAGAGACTAGGAACACTGTGGCAAGTAACTCACCTCCTGACTCAAAGACTGTCCACCATTTAGAAGTCATAAGTCAGGAGTGTGATGGAAAACTCCCTGCTTGCCTGGATGAGTGCAGCCCCAACAACACTCAAAAAGCTTGACACCATCCTGAACAAAGCAGCCTGCTTGATCGGCACTGTATCCTCAAGAATCCATTTGCTCTGCCGTTGATGCTCAGTAGCAGCAGTGTGTGCTATCTAAAAGATGCATTGCAGAAATTCACGAAAGATCCTCAGACAACACCTTAACACCTTCCAAACCCACAAACACTCCCATCTGGAAAGACAAGGGCAGCAGTATCATGGGAACACTACCACCTTGAAGTCTGTCTCCCCCCACCCCCAATCCAACCACCGTCCTGACTTGGAAATATATGACCGTTCCTTCACTGTCACTGGGTCAAAATCCTGGAATTCCTCCCTAGTGGCATTGTGGGTCAACCCACAGCAGGTGGACTGCAGCGGTTCAAGAAGCAGCTCACCACCTTCTCAAGGGCAACTAGGGATGGGCAATAAATGCTGGCCAGCCAGCGAAGTCGGCATTCCGCAAAATGAATAAATTTTTAAAAAATGGAGAGAATGGGTAGACTGCTGAACGCAACCAATCTAATGTGATAATAGGATTAAGTGTGGGTGAGAATGAGTTTGCTGTGGTGAAAGCAACTCATGTCACGATGGGACCGGGGTATGGGGGAGGATAAAGAAATGAAAGGATGTAATTAGATTCTAAAGTAGTTGAATTTGATGTTGAGTCCGAGAGGAATATTGAATATTGACTTATTTTCAAGAAACCTTTGTGTCATGGTAGTTCATATGAAGTCAATTTGTTGTTAATTTATAGCAAGTAGTTATTTTTGGCTATTCAATAAGTACTGTTGCTTAACTTTTGGTAAAATTTTAATTTTCATTAAGTTACAATAATTTTATGTATTTTTTATTGTCATCAAAACAATGAAGTTTCATTGCATAATCAATGATGATAGAGGCAGTCCAAATCTAACTACACCTTTATGTTTCGATTCTTTTAGATCTGAGCACAGGCTTATGTAGTTGAGCCATAAAATTAGAAAATCCTAAAAGTGCTTGGATCCCAAGCGTTTGCTCTGTCCTTTTTCTATTAATGCTGTCTGACCTTTGTCACTGCATTATTTTCGTCAGATTTCTATATTTTGCTTTTGAAAGGTGTTGTTACCATTTGTTGTTTATTTTTGAAAATGGCTCGATATATGACACAGCAAATCTGGTGAAATGAGTTGAATATGAGACTTTGAGTCTGTTTTAATTTATATCATGGTTTTGATCCTCTGGATAGTCACAATGCTGTCACTTCACAAAAGTTATTTTGTCTTTTTGAAGAGAGGTTGTAAAGGCAGCGGTGAAGAAATGGCTACGAAAGACTGCCTAAGTCAACAATCGGCGGAAGCCTTTAGGTTTTTTCAAAACAGTTGTACAATAGAAGGGGAGTGGCCGGTTCTCCCAATTCAGGCTTTCTAGTTTTGTTTTTAGCTGTTGCTGTCACAAGCTGTTTTGAGCCCAGAAGGCTTGCAAGGTTCAGTAAATGGTTTCTAACTGACTTTCTCTGAAATCTCTCTGGATGTTGTTTTCTCCTGCCTGTAAGAATCTGTGTTTGAATTTACCTTTTTGCCAAGGAGTATGTTTATGGGATGTTACTATATTGGAACAGTTATATAGCTAAGTTATTATATCGAGTATTTGGTTAAGTTTTCCAGTGGCTCTAAATTCTGCTGTCTTTTATTTGTGTTTTAACTATACTGTTTAAATAAATTGTGTTTTGTTTAATGCTAAGTGGTTTGACCAGTTGCATCACACCTGGAACACCACTTCATACCTACCTTTAAAAATAAAAATAAGTTAGGGTCTAGGCTATGTTCTTAAAAATTTTTGAGATGGTCTGGCCTGGTCCATAATAATAGCAGGAGAGACTTCGAACATCTTAAAGAAAGTTGACCCTGTAATATAAAAATAAATGAAGATAGGTAGATAAGCAAGCATGTATAAATTATTGGCTTTGAAATGAATGTCCTTTTAGCGAGATGGTTGCATGGACTAATAAAGAGAACTTGCCCATATTGAAGTATGCAAATTGAATTGGATTAATAAGTGGATCTGCATGAAATTAATACATGTTGCCATAAAGCAGCTTGAAGCTCCAGTGCTATGCGGTCTGAGCTGACCTGCTAAATGTGACACTGTTGAACAGAAGACCTAGTTGTTTTTTTAATTGGTGTAATGATCAAAAGCTTCTTTTATCCTTAATACCAGAAAATATCAGTGTCATTGAAACTCATGTAACTTATTTTTCCAGGTAATTTTTTTAGTTACTGCTAATCTGGCAAGCTTTAGTTTTAATAGTTTAGAATACTGCATACACAAGTAATATATCTGGTATTTCACTGTTAATCATTCCATTAGCTAGTTTAATAAAATGTCAATAATTCTTGTAGCTCAAATATTATTGTCTACTTTTTTCGGTTGGTACCATGCTCGTTGTTGGTTTATTATCTTCGTGACAAATTCCGCCTGGAAATCAAACTTGAGTCAGGAAATTAGCAATTTTAGTACTAATTCTTTAACATACTTGATTTTGCATCCAATACAGCTATTAGAATAAGTCTTGTGGCTATTTCAAAGTTTATGACATTGTACCTGAATTTCAATGGTGATGCAATGTCGTGAATCCCAATAATGGCTGATCGAATCAAGTAAAATATTTCTCCGGCTGTTCAGTGTAAAGTACACATGGCCTCAACCAGACCACATTTGCAGAATCCAAAGCAAAATGCCTGCTTTTAGGTATTATTCCATGATTGAGCAACACTTGCTGAATATTTCGTGTGTAATTAACAACTAATTTAAAATAATCAGTCAAACTTGTGACATAGCTCAGTTATACTCACTATAAGTACCATGCATTCACATGCAGAGACTCAATTTCTGCAAACGAAAGGAACATGTTCAATCCTGTGCTTTTTTTGAATTAACCCAAAGCATGGGGAGCGGACAATTCCCCATTCCTTTCTCCAGGACAACAATTGAGCTTTTTGGAGTTGACTTACCAACCAGTCAGCACTATTTTCTCTTGTGGTATGAATTGCTGCAATCATTTGAAAATTGGCACTCTTGTGTTTATCCAGATGAATGCATGACAAAAAGCTTTGGAAAAATAGCTCTTCAGCAATTCTAGTAGTGCTGTTTTTGAAAAGGAGCTTTTATACAGCAATTCAGTTTTATTCTGTTTCCACCGATACTCATAAATTTTGATAAGCAGTACATTTTTTTATGAAATACATTGTTCTGAATAAAAGCTGCTCTAAATTTGACTCATAATTTGTTGTAATCAGATGTCTCCTTGTCAACAATAGCCCAGACAAACACAGTATTTAACCAGTCATAGTTCTTGGATATTTGTGGAGGTATTGTGTGAACTTAGATGCTGTTTTTGATAAACATGAGGTTATTACGCAAATGTTATTCAAGCATGTTAAAGTGACGTCTCAATGTAAATATGTTTCCTTTCATGAAAGATGTGCCATTTCTCTTTCATCTTGCTAGAATATGCTGTTTGATAGTTCCTACTATAGTTATCTCAAACAATTTTACAGCTCAAGACATCTGCTGACAGTTAATTAGGTAACACAGTTGCAAAGGTGGCAGTGGAGACTGAATCCAGCAAGATCATGTACTTAATTTCAGGGATTTCGTAAGTGGCAATTTTGGGGGGAAGGAGATGCTGTTTTGGCCAAAACTAAATGAATGGTCCAAGAAAAAAAAACATGAAACTACAAGAAATGAAGCCTTTGAGATCTTTTGTTGTGCAGATAGATGATTAAAAAATTCTGTACGTTTTCATTCACATTTGCTTAACCAGTAGTTTAAACCAGTACTGGGTGTATATATATTATATATAAAAGAAATTGATAGCAGAAGTAGTTATACTCCAGAATATGATAACATGGGTCATCATTGAGTGATATTCTAAACATGAACTTAATTAGCTAATCAAAACAAAATAGAGATGGCAGTGTAGGCAACGTATTGCAACTAAGACATGTTGAAACTGGTGGACACCAGTGTGACCTACAGCAATCACATCTGCAGTGAGTTTCTGCAGCTTGAGGGATCTAAGCTTAGAGTTGATGAGCTGAAGATCTAACTTTGGATATTGTCCTGCAAAAGGTCGGGGGAGACTTACCTGGACGCTTGTTCCAGGAGGCAGTCACGCTTAAACTAGGTTCCTCTGATTGCTTTGTGATCATATACAAGAGAGTGTTTCTCTCGGAGGCAGGTATGGTAGCAATGCAAGAATCTCCCCCTTACAATTGTCCAACAGGTTGCATTACAGTAACTTGTATGGGCAAGAGATGGGGATTTTTGAGCAAACTAAATATAGAAGTATGGTGCGGGGGTTTGTATAAATTGGAACTGTATAAGTTAGGGGATAGACGTTATGTAGCTGGAGTGGAAGTTCTGAAGGCTGTATTGCCTGCTTGGTGTCAGTGTTGTGGATGTATCCCCACAGCTGGAGAATAACTTGTTGTGGGAGGAAAAGTCCAATTATTGTGTCCATGTAGCTACGAGGAATTAGATAGTACCAAGTTAGAGGTTCTGCTGCAAGAATGAGAGCAGTTAGAGACTAAATTAAAAATTAAAACCAAGGTAATACTGTTTGGAATGCTGCTTGATATCAAATTTGCAGAATGGTGAGTAGTGACAAGAATAATAGGAGGATATCAACAAATGGCTCGGGGCAGAACAGTGGCAAATGGACATCCACTTGGAAAAGTGAGAGGTAATGCACTTGGAGGGCTGACAAGGGAAGGGATCATTCTGAATCATAGGTTCCTGGAAAGTATTGAAGATCAGAGAGACTTTGGAATACATGTCGACAGATCTTTCAAGGTGGCAGTACAGGTGGATAAGATGATTTGTTACCTCCCCGCTGGGAGGGTGTGCTAATTCTCGGGCCCCATGCCTCCTGAGGTCGCCACAATATCATATGGGATGCTGACCTTTATTAGCAAAGCCATAGATTGCAAGAACCGGGAGATTGTGCTGGAACTGTATAAAAGGCCACAGCCGGAGGGCTGCATGCAGTTATGGTTACCACATCATAGGAAACATGTGATTGCATTGGAGAGCATACAGAGGGGGTTTACCAGGATGCTGCCTGGGTTGGTGGGTCTGAGTTATAAAAGAAGATTAATTAGGCAGGGGCTATTTTCTTTGATACAGCGAAGGTTGAGTGGGGACCTGGTAGAGGTGTATAAGGTAATGTAGGACATAGAGACAGTGGAGGAGGCACTTTATTTGTTGGTAGAGGGGCAATAACTCGGGGGCTGAGATTCAAGGTAAGAAGTAGAAGGCTAAGAGAGAGTAGAGAAAGTTTTTCAACCAGGGATTGGTAAGAGTCTTGAACTCACTGCCTGAAAGGGTGGTTGACTCAGAAACACTTGTAACATTTAAATCAATACTTAGATATTCACTTGCTTGGCCATAGCCTCCAGAGCTTAGAGTGAAGTACTGGAAAATGAGATTAATGTAGTCAGGAATTTGCTGACCAGTGTGTTCACAGTGATTGGTATCACTCTGTGCTGTAAAAGTCTGAGTCACTTGATTCACAAGCAAATTGTCATAGGATTAAAAAAATGAGACAGTTGAATGCATGATTCAAAGTTTGATGCCCATAAAAATGGGTTTTGATTCATGGGACACTGGGACAAGTACTGCACGAAGAGGGGCTGTATTATTGGGATGATGTCACTTGAACCATGATGAAACCAGTGTACAAAGATTTTGAGAAGACATTAAACTGATCATGAGGGGATGAGGGTTAACGGAGAATGTGGGATTGTGTTCAATAATGACAGAGACTGGTGAGTGGTGAAAATAGCCTCTTTATTGTGCATCTGCAGTGACACAGTTCGAGGTGGAGATAGAATCCAAAGTACAGTTTTACTGTAGCCTCTTTTATACACAGTTTTTACATACATTAAAATTTTAGCACTATTGTGTCACGTAGTTGTCTATTGTACAGAAGTTTGTGTGATATCTGTCCTGGGGAGGCAGGAGATCATATAAGCACTTGCTAAATGCAGGCTGTTACTCCTGATGGGATTAGAATGTCCAGTTTGAGTTTGCATAATTAGGAGGTGTTAGTACTTTTGTCTTTAAAGTTAGTAGTGTTCATAGAAATACTAGACCTATATGATCTAAATAAGTGAGAAATTATACATTTACGAACTAAAAATACAGAGGATATTAAACTGATCTCCCACAGTTAGGTTGTGAGATTTCATCTACTATTGCTGGTTTTTGACGGTTCCTACACATTGATTCATGCAGTTTCACAGATGCACTGTTTTGATAGTAAGTTTCTTAAAGGAGTAGTGGCCCTATTTAGTATGTAGTTTAAAAAGCATAAATCCGTACATTAGTACAACATGGTAGTCTGAAATAAAATTTAGAGATAAGTAGTACAGTGTTATGGAAATCTGTAATGTATTAAGGAAATTTCAGAGAGATAAAAAGCAGCAGACTGGAGGCATAGTTAATATTATAATCTTTACATAGTTTTGAGTGAGTTATGGAGACA